GGACCAGAAGTACTTCTGGTTCACTTCCAGGTCCACTGCCGAGCATGTGGGAGGCCCCTCTGTGTCCCCCCCGGCTCAGTGATTGGCCGCGGGAGGACCCTGGGTGACCCCCAGACCCAGGATGCACCAGTTGCCGAGTGCACCAGGCATGGGGGGACCCCTGTGCGCTCCCTGGCAGACCCTGAAGTGGACCGGAAGTGTTTCTGGTCTACTTCTGGGTCTGCTGCCAAGCGTGCTGGGGAGCCCCCCAGGCTTCCGTGGGATACTCCATCCACCCCAGCACTGCAGCATTCACAAGCTGCTTGGTACCTTAAGGTGTGTAGAAAAAGCTTTAAAAGCTGTGTCTATGTCCAAATCATCAAATCTTGCCAAATCTCCCTGAATCAATTCGGAGGGTTCAGATTCCATTCGAAGAGATTCCATTCTTGATTCGATTTGGATTCAGAGATTTGGCCACTGAATCAGGCCAAATCAAATCAGCAACTGAAGCTTTGCACAGTCCTACTGGGCATCTGTATTTCCTGTTGGCTTCAACAGAGGTTTCAGGTGGTCAGCACCACTCAGGATTTGACCCCATGCTTAAAAACTAATTATGGTTTTGGTAAAGGAGGAGTGTTGCGAGAAGACTTGTGTAGCTCTTCGAAGTCCCATTCCAATGGAAACCTGTAGCAGAGCTTTCACTGACCACTGGAAGCCTAACAGAGTCCCTGAGAAATAAGGATTTTTTACTTTGTGATGCAGATTAGAGATAAGAGGCGAGCCTGTGGTGTGTACATATTTTTGTTATAAACTGCTTTCATACAATGTGTTACACCAAGCAGATTCATTCTGGTGTGAAGAAGCATCTCAGTGGAATTCAGGAGCAAACTTTGGTTAATGGTGGAGGAATGAGGTTAGAGACCTGACAGGAAAGGAGAGTTCATAGTAGCATCCTGCTGTGTTTTCATCTCAGTCTTCTGCTAGCACTTAATTCACCTAAATAAATTACAGAGTTAATAAGGTGTTATGCTGAAAGGAGGGGAAAAAAACCCAACAAAACTTTTCTCCACTTTTGGGTGCAAGTAAGCTTTATAGTAACAAAATTAAGTGATGGTGAAATATATAAAAGCATGAATGAACAATCTCTTGAGGCCTTTCACTCTTTATTCCCACTTCAGATTTGCTTCCTGAACTGCACCAATGATAAAAGCTAAGGCAGCCAAAATGACTTGGAGTTTGTTTGCCTGTCTGCCTCTCTAAAATTATCTGCAATATCTTTTACACTTTTAATATTGGAGTGGCTCATTTGTTTCTGGTGGTAGTTTTTTTTGAGGGAAAAGGGCCAGGGGAAGGCATTATTTTCTACATCTGGCTTGTTTATTAGTCAGTTGTGGTCATGAATTTTCTTTGTAGTACGCAAAATAATGCTTCTAGGCAAGAATAAATTGCTTCACAGAAATGGGAATGAAATGATCACTTTCTGCATGCCATGATTTGTCTCTGGTATCTTAGATGCATCAAACTTCATTATCTCTAGCGCTCATCAATAGCCATGTTTAACTGGTTCAAATAGCAAAGCAGATGCATTTATACTACTCTGTGGGGAGTGTGGTGAATTATTATATTTGCCTCATCAATAAAACTATTTTTGACTGTATCAGCACCATATTTGTTGTCAATATGGTTGGATAAGCTCATAACAAGACCTTCTATGATATCTCTTATGTTCAGAGAAGCTGTGTATTACTACCCTCAAGAGGCTAAAACACTTCAGTGTACACCATGGACAGCTTAATAAGTTTGCTAGTGCAGTAAGGTGCATTATTTGATATATGACAAAACTATACACTGAAATAACTTCTCAAAATAGCTTGATTCTGTCTGGTAATGCATGTTGGTAATGCATGTTAGTAATAATGCTAAGTTGATGAATTCATTAATATAATTGTGTTGTGTGATATCCCTTAATTTGTAGAGCGTGTCAGTTTTTTTAAACATTTTTCAAAAGTGCAGATTTTTATGAAAAAAGAAAAGTGAAAATAGAATTTTAAAACAAAATTGAAAAAAGAACTTATGGGGATTGTTTGTGCTTTTTCAGTTTTCTTTTTCCTTATCCATCCCTTTTTATGGGGAAAAATAGGAAAATTATATGTTTTTTAAAGCCTGCGAAACAAAAGGGATTTAGACACTTTGTTAGTTTTTTTCTTTAATTAGCCCAATGGTCATAGCAGCAGCATGATAGGAAGCTGTCTATTATCCCAGTTTTGCAGCAAGGGGATAAAGTGACTTCCTCAGATTCTCAGATAAAGTCTGCAGTGGGAATTGAATTCTGCTAAAAGTTCCAGGACAGGTACCTTTTATCCTAGACAATCTTCCATCTCTGAGTGATGCCTACAAGACATGTGGTTCCCCAGTGATTCCATGTAGATAGGGACTTAGCTTCTATCATACTGTAACCTGAATAATTCCAAGACAATATTCTTTTCGTTACTACCTTCTACATGGTAGAAAGTTTTCCATCATGGACCTGAACCTGCAGAGACTAGATCAAGACCAGCCATTTACACCTATATATAGTCTGGAAAAGTGATTGGAAGATGCGGGGATGTGTAGAACATGACTCTTAGATGCACTGATATGTAGAAGGTGGTTTAGCAACATATATTCTATGACAAAATGTGTTTCACATCTCTGCTTACAAAAACTAGGCCCAGCAGTAAGCCCTTTGAGCCTCCATTCTGCCTGTTCTTCCCTATGACCTACCCCTCTTGGACTCTATTTACTGGTACCAAAATGAGAGGTCAGTCAGGGAGCAAGAGAGTGTCAAACCATGCCTTGTAGAGAGGTGTCTACAATGCCGAGCAGCTTGTATGCCTCTGAAGAACTGTTGTGCACTGGGTCAGCTCTGGGTAAAACTTGATCATGTTAATTCCTAGATCAGCAGTTCCCAGCCTTAGGGTCGTGC